CCTGGACCTTTTCCAGAAAGTGGCAAGTTTTAACTAGGAGTGCTTTTGTCTGCTTGTTAAAAGAGGCTTGGTGCTGGGGCGCCTGGGTGGCGCAGTCGGTTAAGCGTCCGACTTCAGCCAGGTCACGATCTCGCGGTCCGGGAGTTCGAGCCCCGCGTCAGACTCTGGGCTGATGGCTCAGAGCCTGGAGCCTGTTTCCGATTCTGTGTCTCCCTCTCTCTGCCCCTTCCCCGTTCATGCTCTGTCTCTCTCTGTCCCCAAAATAAATAAACGTTGAAAAAAAAAATTAAAAAAAAAAAAAAGAGGCTTGGTGCTTATTCCCCTAGAGCTGAAGCCTTTTGGCAGTCTGTGGTCAGTGGACTTGGTGCATGGGGTGGGGGGTGCTGTTCTTCTGGGGAAGGGGCCCATTGCTCTGGTTCTCAGGCACACTTGCCCTAGAAAAGAAGCACCTGCAGAGCTCTGTGAGGTGGGGTTGGTCTAAGCATCTCAGGCCTTCACTGTGGGTAATGTGTTGCTCACTGAAGTCAGTCCATGCTGATGGGTGGGGGAGAACAATGGTGCCAGCTCTCTCTCTCTCATCCCCAGACAAGGGAGTTCACATTTGCCACTGTCTGGGAAGCCCTCCTAGAAGAGCAAACAATCTCCCCTTGTGTGTTCCAGGCCTCCCTCATATCTCTCCTCTCACTCTTTCTGTGTCTCTGTGTCCACCCAGCTGTGCAGTGCACCTGTGTTTTACCCAGGCAGGCCAGCTGAGTTTCAAAACTCCAGACTTTAGGAAATTGGCATGGTATGGTCCTGCAGTAAACCCCTGGGGGTGGATCTCACCTCACTGGGGTTGGTGCTGGTTTGTCTCAGAAGGTCAGTAGCATCAACATGCAGGAGCTTGGAGTTTAGATTAAAGTGCAACAAAAGCCTATATCCAGGTTAGCTGCCCTCAGCAGGTGTGTCTGCCACCTACACTAAGGGGCGGGGGATACAATGTTACCCACTGACTCTTTTGTCCCCTGAGAGACAGTATCAGCTCTCCCAGATGGACTCCAAGATGGGTGATCCATCTTTTCCTGTGCATCCCAGGGTATCCTCAAATTGCAGTGTCTGCTCCCAGGCCTTTGCCCTCCTTCTCCAGAGGAACACTGCAGCGCCCACTGAGTTCCACACCAGCCACAGTGCAGACTTCTATAATTCCAGTCTTTGAGCTCCGCTGGTTGTAAAAACCCTTGATAATCAGCCCCTCTCATTTTTCCAGTCAATGGCTTCGGGGAAGTATTTTCCTTGTGTGATCCCTGTGTGCTTCTCTCTCTCTCTCTCTCTCTCTCTCTCTCTCTCCCTCCCTCCCTCCCTCCCCACCTCTCCATGATCAGGGATCCCTCCCCTCCCCTCTTTTTTCCCCCAAATCACATCTCCACACCTCCTACCTTCCATGACATGACCTCTTCTCTCCTGGTTTGCAGTTTGTTCTGTGAGACCTCAGATTTATTTCTTGGGTGTTATATCACAATAATTTGATATTTATCTAGCTGTCTGTCAGTCCTCAGATCTATTTCTTGGGTGTTATATCACAATAATTTGATATTTGTCTAGCTGTCTTGAGGGACAGGTAAGCATAGGGTCCTCCCATTACTCCATCCTCTATGCTCCCTCTACCAATATTTAAATTTCTTCTTATTTTTTAATGTTTATTTATTTTTGAGAGACACAGGAAGGCAGAGCATGAGCAGGGGGGGGGCAGAGAGAGGGGGAGACACAGAATCAGAAGCAGGCTCCAGGCTCTGACCTGTTAGCACAGAGCCTGATGCGGGGCTGGAACTCACAAACCATGAGATCATGACCTCAGCTGAAGTCAGATGCTTAACTGACTGAGCCACCCAGGCACCCACCAATATTTAAATTTCTAATGATGCTCTGATAATTAGTATTTACTTAGTGAATGAATGGTGAATGTATGAATTGATTATTATTTAGGATTAACTATCATAGACTCAGTTTTTTTTTCTGTGTACATTAATAGTACATTAAGTATTTTATTTTCTTTCACTAATAAACTAATATGACTAATGTTCTGTTGACCACATAGCACGGTGGTCAAAATTTATATCATCTTGCTTAAAATATTAAAAACTAGATAGAATATATTCTGAGTATAATAAGAAAACAGAGCCCATGTTTTGTTTTTCGTATAACTTCTTCCCCCAATAGGGACACCCACTGATGAATTTCACTTCAGTTTGAATTTCAAAAGTGGAGGTGGAAGAAAAGTTGCTTCAGTTTTTTGGGGGAGGAGAGAATGATGGGATACCAGATTCTGATTTAGGGCATTGTCATTCTTTTTGGTTAGATTAAATAAGTCTTGCTTGGATTATTTTCTTTCAGTCTGTAAATTGTGGGGATGATGTTTAAAGTCCTTATGAGTTATAGTATTCTGAACATTTTCTTTAGATTTTATAGTAAACTTTCTACTGAGGTTAGTATCTTTTGTATATATTTTTCTATTCCTTTTTACATATTTTGCTATTCATAATAAATGTATGTATTGTTTTCCTCCTAGGCAAGAGTATATTTTTTATTGTTGTTGTTTTTTTTTTTTTTTTTTCATTTGGAAACTTCAGGACTCCATTAGCCTCCACTCCCATTAGCCTGCATTGATGAGGGAGGGATTTCAATTAGTGTATTTATCAGAGAGAGTCTATGGTGCATACCTCTTATTTCCAGAGTTTAGGTTTCTCAAGTCATGTTTGACAATGGTTGTTGTAATGATCATGATTAACTAAAACATCTGACTTCTCAGTATAAACCATCTCTTCCTATAAATGCTTTGGATAATGATTAGATTGAGGAGAGGACTAGATGTAGTTGAGTTTCACCTTTTCTGGACTCTTTGTTATTGGTGTCTTGATGCTTCACTTACATCTGGGTGCCCAGAGGCAGAAGAATGAAATGTGCATCTTTCCCCGGACAGGGAGCTGTATTTGTGTTTGTGAGGATAAAAGAGAAGAGAAACCTTACCTTGATGTAAAATTTATTGCCAATTTTATGCAATATAGGAGATCATGACAATAAATTCAAAAATAGTAGTATCTAGTTCCAGTGGTGGCACAAAAGATGCAAATATTCTGACTCATCACCTACTATAACATTCTTTGTTCAGAACATGGAATGTGTTACAATATTATTGGAGAAATTTTGGCTCCAAAATCATGTTTCTTAGCTCCCTGGATAGGTTTGTCAGTGGTCAATTAAAATAAAATCTGGAAAGTCCATGATCTGAGTCTGAGAAATTTTTTAAAAATGCTCATTTTATCCTAAAGCACCCAAATGACTTTGTCATATAGTTTTGAATATAGTTCCAAATGCTATTTACTTCTTCCATTCATTGTTTTCTAACCAAAGAGCTTAGTGATTGTGGAGCCTTACAAAAACCTTGCACCAAACAAAAGAAATATAGTACAGTGCTACAGTTAAATAAAAGGACAACTATATACCCCCCTACCAAAAGAAAAGATCATGTATCTTAATTCCATGTTGTATGTCTCATTTCTTTTTTGGGTTCTTATTTGAGCTAGTTTGTTTTCTGTTGGTTTCAAATTATTCAAAGTAATAATACCTTTGTTCTTGGACATATTCATAGAGTGGAGTGTTACCTTCTAAATAAAAGGAACCTGATTCTGTTCTCTCCCTTTTATGGCAATCTCTGGCCTCAGAGTTTCTTGTATGCATGTTGTCCACATCCTGACTATATATACTGATGCTTCCTAACAAACTTGATGTGGGCCCTTGCTTTTGTTTTTCCCCACTCCATATGGTTTTACTGCTTGATGAATGTCTATACCCATATTTTTCACTTCCTGTAGGGTCTTGTCTATTAAGAGAGTGACTAGAAATGAACCCTTGCCTCCTGCTTCTGCTATCACTTGACTGCTCATAGCTGTGACTTGATTGGTCATGGCTATATACTTGTCTTTCATTGGTGCTGAATCCAGATTGACCCGGGATGTCTACTAATTGTCTATTACTTGATCCTTGTCTTACTAAACTTGTGCTGGATCTTATCTGCTCATGAGAAGATGTATCTCCCAAATGCTCCTGGCTGGATTCATGCATACTTATATTATTGAACTCCGACTGTCCATGAGTAGATCCTGATGATTCATGAATCTGTTTCCCCCAATCTTTGGAATTCCCTTTATTACCACTATGGGATCCCTGCCTAAGAGTTGAACCAGATTTTGAATGGCAATGAGCTGATATAGATTGTCCATGGCTGAATATAGAATGGTTGCTCGACTGCCAACTTCCAGATTGAACATGAGTGTCACTTGATGGTTCATGACTTACTGCTGAATGCCCATGACTAGATCCCTGCCTTCTAGTTACACTGGATGCAGACTGATTATGGGAATCAACTGATTGTCCATGACTTGAACCTTGTCTTTCTGTTATTTCAGTTGCTTTTGATCCTGTATGGTCATAACCAGAAATTAATTGTCCATGTGTAGACACTTGATTGTTTGCAGCTCTCTCTGTTGACCTCAAAGGGCTAGAATTGTGGCTGCTTGTTCTGCTACCCCCAGAGGGTCCATACCCAGACTGCCCATAATCATATTCAGCACTTCCATAACTGCCATGTTTCCATCCTTGACCTGATCCATGTCTTTGTCTTCCACTAAGCTGTGACTGAGAATGACTTACTCTAGATTGGTGATGACTGCTATGTGAATGCTTACTTATGCTATCACTGGTGTGTCTATGAGTATCATGCGACTGTGTATGGCTGGATCCACCTTGTTCTGTTGTGCCAATTCCTAACTGTCCACGAGAAGATGTGGTGTGCCCCTGAGCTGAACCTGAGGATGTAGATTTGTCTCCAACATGTCTATGAGAGGATGCCTGTACTCCTGATCTTCTGGAACTAGGTTGCTTATGAATTGAAGTCTTCCCTTGTTCAATTATGGAATGTTTAGAACTATCCCCTGACTCTTCAGTACTAGAACCATGTCTTCCAGTTGTATTACTAACTGTGTTTTGGGGGATAGAACCAAAATGCCTATGACTAGAAACTGAGTGTCCTTGTGACACACCTGAGTGCCTTTCAGTGTCGCTGGACTCACTCACACTAGATCCCTTTCTTCCAGTCCACCTGGATTCTGCGCTGGTGGCTTGTCCATGACCAGACTGGGCAGGTCCAGTGGTGTCTCCTGTCTGTGGGCGAGTAGTTCCCAGTCTACCTTCATGGGTAGATGTTGACTCTCTAAGTTGAGATCCAGCATGGCCATGGGGGGACGCTGTGTGTGTCTGTGGGACTCCTGAAGGCCTTTCACTGGACTCATTGATGCTGGATTCTCTTCTTGCAGTCCTACTGGATTCTGACCTGGTGGCTTGTCCATGAGTGGACTGGGTATGTCTAGTGGTGTCTCCTGCCTGTCTGTGAGTAGTTCCCTGTCTTCCTTCCCGGGTGGATCCCGACTCTCCATGTTGAGATCCAGCATGGCCATGAGGGGACCCTGCCTGTGTCTGTGGGACTCCTGAAGGCCTTCCCCTGTCCCTGGACTCACTGCTCCTAGATCCTGTTCTTCCCGTCCTACTGGATTCTGTCCTGGTGGCCTGTGCATGACCAGACAGTGTATGTCTGGTGGTGTCTACTTGCTGTCCGTGAGTAGTTTCCTGTCTTCCTTCATGGGTGGATGCTGACTCTCCCTGTTGGAATCCAGGGTGGCCATGAGGGGACCCTGCCTGTGACTGTGGGACTCCTGAGTGCCTTTCACTGTCACTGGACTCACTGACACTGGATTCTCTTCTCCCAGTCCTACTGGATTCTGACCTGGTGGCCTGTCCATGACCAGACAGTGCATGTCTAGTGGTGTCTCTTTGCTGTCTGTGAGTAGTTCCCTGTCTTCCTTCCCGGGTGGATCCCAACTCTCCATGTTGAGATCCCGCCTGGACATGAGGGGACTCTGTGTGTGTCTGTGGGAGTCCTGAGTGCCTTTCCCTGTCACTCGATTCACTGGCACTGGACCTGCTTCTTTGGGTCCTGCTAGATTCTGTCCTGGTGGCCTGTCCAAGACCAGAATGTGCTTGTCTAGTGGTGTGTCCTTGCTGTCTGTGAGTAGTTTCTGGTCT